GCCTGTGATAAAGGCTTAGGCTTGTATAAAAGCGGTTGCTTTGTAAATGTCGAACAAGTTATGTGTTTGGCCGCAATAAGGGAGTACGAAACAAGGAAGCATGCGTGATGCCATGTTATTGAGTGAAATATATATTCGTTATGATAGCATATTGAAGTTCATTGAAGGACTGATTGATAGGTTGCATCAGCCATGGTGGCTGGTTCGAAGTCCTCACGTCGTTTCGTTATTTGGAACCTCGGAGAGCCGGAACACATTTTCGTTTTACTAAGTATCCTGCAGCTGGTTGAATGCCCCTCACGCGGATTGCGGTCAATTTAGCCCCTGAGGTTCAAGAAACTAAAAAAGCTAGAGACGCCAAATTTGTAGGGTGTATTGGCCTGTATACTACATAGGAACGCACTTGTGCCATAACTTAAGGTTCTTAGGTCATGGCTTTCGGATTAAGTGAGGTCAAACAAGGTCAAGCTCCAGATCGGTGTCCAGAGTGCCCCCAGAACCTAAATGCCGGTTCTAAGAAAAGAGTCACTGGTGCTCATGTAAGGCAAGTGATTTTTACCTTTCTCAGGTCATGGTGACCAAAATCAAACAAGACCGCTTTGAGTTTTGCATTTGTACAAGCGTTCAAGATTACGTGAGGTAGTTGTTCCAAAAAACAAATGTCGACCTGGGTCATCTTAGGCTAGCAGCCTCTGCTAATGTTTAAGAAGTTCATGGAAGGAACATGATGCCGGTCCTGTTATTAATAATATTGAAATGAGCACTGGAAAAACCCCACATCGCAAGCTTTGGAAAAATAAAGCAGTTTGGTTTGGACCGTGATCTGACCTTCATACTTGACCATAGGCCAAAGGAGCTTGCCAATTAAATTGTGTTACCTGAGAGACTATCTCAGAGATGTACGGCTTCGTTTAACACTGCGTCATTTGCATCGGATTGAACGTTTCCCCAGATATTGTCTTCGCTGAATTCATGGCCTGATTTTAACCCGTCGTAGTCCAGCGACAAGTTTTTGATACCAGGCGATCCGATATTCAACTGCCTACAGCTATGCAAAGTTTGGCGCGGCTGCGTCGTCCCTTTCGGGGATCATTCCGGAGAAACCCTTCGAGGGAGGTCAAATTGACCCACGCCCACCCGACATGTCTTAAGTTACACGATTTGACTCACAACACACGATGCAATCAGCCATAATGGATCCGACAAGTTAAGTATGGTGACATATCCAAGGGAGAGTTTAGGAAATTAGTAGGGTTCACGTTGTCAGAACTTTGTTCCGGTCTATGGATGCATGGAACATTTGAGATGCCTTGGCTTCGGCTCAGCCATCGAGTACCACCCTTCTCCGCCGTTTTTCGAAACACAGCTCCAGTTTAGACTGGTGTTTGTAGAGTCTTCAACTGATGGTTCCTCCGTTATTTCGCAATGCTGCAATGTTCGACCGCGTGACTGAATCATTTGTTTCAGGAAGAGCATATTCATACCAACAGCCCGGATCACACAGAAGACTTCGCGAAGCCACGTGTCGCTACAATGTGTAAGTAATATTTCGTTACATCGCTTTCATTCAATCATTCATTCCGGTTTGGATGGGTAGGTAAGGTGAGTTCTGGTAGGACGCAGGTGAAGGAGAGGTCAAATGATATTCCGTTGCAGGGGCGTCCGCACGTGATAACCTCCCCCCCCCCCGAGAGTACGTGCGCCCCAAACCAAATTGTTTGTATGTTTTGTACCACAGGTGTAGTTTCGCCGATTGAGTTAGCATGGGTGGAGTAGGTTGAGAGGTGGAGGGCTGAACAGTGCGTAACAACGAAAGGTGCCTTCAAAACAGGCCAACAAATCGGTTTGTCACGGATTTGGCCCACTTCCTCTCAAAGTTGAGGCCGAGGTGGTGGGGGGGGGGGGGGGAGAGGGGGAGCTGAAGCTCCTTCAGCTGAAATAGGAAACTGCACCCCCACATGTACGTGACTAAAGGTTGATAATCGAAAAATCTAGGTAGCTACTTTAAGATAAGAGTAAAGAACGAGCGGGTGTTTTGTGAAACGTGTGAATCTGTGCGCCCCTGTGGGACGCTAACTTCGGTTTTCGGTGAAATATTCAGTTGTTTAGGCCCCGTCGTAAAGTCCTGCATACGCCCCTGT